GGAAAATAAAATCAGCCACAACTTTTGACCAAATCTATCTTGTACATATTCTAAATTTATTTAATTCGAATTTAAAAAAGAGACCGCCCAATTATTAAAACTGTTCAAAAATTACTAATAAAGGTAAAAATGAATTATTTTGGCGGGATTTAGTTACTATTACAGGTAAATACCAAACCTTTTTATATTTATATAGATATATATAGAGAGAGAGAGAGAGAGAAAGAAAAGGATGATCTTGCTTTGAAAGCACATATATATATATATATATAGAGAGAGAGAGACAGAGAGAGAGAGAGAGAAAGAAAGAAAAGGATGATCTTGCTTTGAAAGCACCAATGCTGTAAAATGCATGTCCTTGAGCTTCGTTATTTTCATCGAGAATGACGTGCTCTTGAGGGGCATCAGGCCCAGTTGGCATTGTCTCATAAACAGATGCCTGTTCACCAACATTAGGCACAAGACAGCGGCAATGTTGGACATATTCTTTGCCCTTCAAGGTTCTTTGGTAATAATAGTAAGTTCCTCGGTGCAAAGGTGCAGTTATGTCATCTTCTTTCAGACGACCCCTAATCTCACAATAAATTTGATCTTCTAATAGTTTGGTTCCTGAAAAGTAACAAGCCCATAAAAAGGACAAATTCAGACAGAATCAAGTACAAAAGTATATCGATGCATACATGAATGAACCATATACATTCTCGGAGATTCCCAATGGAAACATATGATTTTGCAGCCCCAACTTTCAGTTTGCAACTATATTTTGGCAGCACAACTCTTCAGAATGACACAGAGGTAGACTTTGGGTATTAAGTTCAACCAATCCTTGAAGCTCTATTATGTTATTCTTCTTCTACAACAGATATATCTAATGCTCGGAAAGACCCCAGATCATTCAAGCGAGTGCAAATACATCACATGTGATGACTATCTCTGCTCTACAAAATATTCCTAATAAAACTCAGCAAGAAGATAATAAATAACAGCTCACAGTCAGTCACATAGTTTCTCTTTATAATGAATAAATGCAATAGCTTTATCAGGAATCCTAGTTTAACATAACCCAATGCCTAGTTGGGAAAAAAATAAAAATAAAAAACACTAGCACCGAGTGAAGTGATAAGAAATCGAACGGACCAGACATGAGATGGTGGGTATAAGCATTTTCTTGTTGGAGATGGGCCAAGATTAGAGGGTCGGAGCGAGAATCATCGCGAAGCCAATAGTAATTGTCGATCCTGACGTCACCGAACATCTCCATCTCATGCTTCACCTGCTTCGGAATTGGAGGTTCCATCTTTAACCTACGCACACAAACTATCCCGATGTATATAGTATCTTTCTATACACCTAG